GTGTGATTAAAAGGTAGAAGTAGAGAGGAAAGGGTAATTTTCTTTTTATTTCTGTTTACTTCCATAATATCTCTCTTCCCAGGTGATGCTAGTAGTAAAGAACCTGCCTGCCAGTGCAGGAGTTGTAAGAGACTTAGGTTCAATCCCTGGGTTGGGAGGATCCCTTGCAGTAGGATATGGCAACCCACTCCTGTATTCTTGCCTGGAGAATCCCTTGGACAGAGGAGTCTGGCAGGCTGTGGTCCATGGAGTCACAAAGAGTCAGACATGACTGAAGAGACTTAGCACGCACACTTTATAATAGTGATAGCTAATACATGTTGCTTACTATCTGCTAGGTCCCCATTCTAAGTTTTTAAAATGTAGTCACTCATAGTCAGTAGATGGGGAAACAGTGGAAACATTGAGAGACTTTATTTTTGGGGTCTCCAAAATCACTGCAGATGGTGACTGCAGCCATGAAATAAAAAGACACTTACTTCTTGGAAGAAGAGTTGTGACTAACCTAGACAGCATATTAAAGGGCAGAAACATTACTTTGCCAACAAAGGTCTGTCTGGTCAAAGCTATGGGTTTTCCAGTGGTCATGTATGGATGTGAGAGTTGGACTATAAAGAAAGCTGAGCACTGAAGAATTGATGTTTTTGAACTATGGTGTTGGAGAAGACTCTTGAGAGTCTCTTGGACTGCAAGGAGACCCAACCAGTCCATCCTAAAGGAAATTGTCCTGAATATTCATTGGAAGGACTGATGCTGAAGCTGAAGCTCTAATAGTTTGCCCACCTGATGAGAAGAATCGACTCATTTGAGAAGACCCTGATGCTGGGAAAGATTGAAGGCGGGAGGAGAAGGGGACGACAGAGGATGAGATGGTTGGATGGCGTCACTGACTCAATGGACATGAGTTTGAGTTAAGTCCAGGAGTTGGTGATGGACAGGGAGGCCTGGTGTGCTGCAGTCCATGGGTCGCAAAGAGTCGGACACGACTTAGCGACTGAACAATAACTAGTTAAAACTAAAAACTGTAGACAATAAGATGCTGGAGTTCAGCTTTGGCTCCATCTCTTCATTCTTTCTGGAGTTATTTCTCCACTGATTTCCAGTAGCAACTGGGCATCTACCTACCTGGGGAGTTTATCTCTCAGTGTCGTATCTTTTTGCCTTTTCATACTGTTCATGGGGTTCTCAAGTCAAGAATACCAAAGTGGTTTGCCATTCCCTTCTCCAGTGGACCACATTTTGTCAGAACTCTCCACCACGACCCTTCTGTCTTGCGTGGCCCTTCATGGCATGGCTCATAGGTTCATTGAGTTAGACAGGGCTGTGGTCCACATGATCAGGGTGGTTAGTTTCCTGTGATTGTGGTTTTCAGTCTGCCAGCCCTCTGATGGAGAAGGGTAAGAGGCTATGGAAGCTTCCTGATGGGAGAGACTGACTGAGGGGGAGACTGGGTCTTTTTCTGATGGGCGGGGCCATGTTCAGTAAATCTTGAATCCAGTTTTCTGTTGATGAGTGGGGCTGTGTTCCCTCTCTGTTATTTACCTGGGGCCAAACTATGGTGGAGATAATGAAGATAATGGTGACCTCCTTCAAAAGGTCCCATGCATACACCACTACACTCAGTGCCCTCAGCCCTGCAGCAGCCACCACCGACCCATGCCTCCGCTGGAGACTCCTGGACACTTACAGGCAAGTCTGGGTCAGTCTCTTGTGGGGCCACTGATCGTTTCTCCTGGGTCCTGGTGCACACGAGGTTCTGTTTGTGCCCACCAAGAGTTTGTTTCCCAGTCCTGTGTAAGTTCTCACGGCTCTGTGGTGGGGTTAATGGTGACCTCCTCCAAGAGGGCTTATGCCATACCCAGGTCTACTGCACTCAGAGCCCCTGCCCCTGCGGCCATCCGCTGCTGACCCGAACCTCCACAGGAGACATGCACAGTTCCGTCTCAGTCTCTGTGGGGACTCTGGAATTTGTGTTATTGGTTAAAAAATATTTTATCCTAGTCTTTTGTTATATAGAGGTTAGAAAAATTGTTTTAACAAGTTGTCTCTATTTATTTATGACTGTGCTGGGTCTTCCTTGATGGGTGTGGATTTTCTGTAGTTGCAGTGAGTGGGGGCTGTTCTCTAGGTGTGGTGCACGAGCTTCTCGTTGAGGCGGCTTTGCTTTTTGCAGAGCATGGGCTCTAGGTCTCATCGGCTCAGTAGTTGTGGCACATGGGCTTAGTTGCCATGTTACATGTGGGATCTTTGTGAACCAGGGGTTGAACCCATGGCCGTGCATTGGCAGGTGGAGTCTTAACCACTGGACCACCAAGGAAGTTCAGAAGTTTTAAATTTTAATGGTGTCAAACTTATAAATCTTTTTCTTCATGGCTTTTTTTTTTTTTTTTTTACTGTTCTTAGATTACTAGATTTTAAAAAAATGAATGTTAAAATTTTTATCAAGTGATTTTTTACTGTCTAAAGGAGTGATCATATTAATTTGTTAGTATAGTGAATGATTTTAATGAATTTGTGTTGAACCTTCCTTAAATTTTTTGGAGAAAAATCTACCTGGTTATGATTTGTGATCCTTTTGAAAAACTACTGATTTCAATTTGTTATGGATATATTTGTGTACTATATAAGTTAAAATTAGAGTGTGACTTACAGTGTCTTCTTCCTCTTTTTTTTCTTCCCTCCTGCCTTTCCCGCCTCCCTTTTTCCTGACTCCTGTCCTCCTTCCTCTCTCATTCTCTCTTCCTTATCTTTCTTCACATTTTTTTATGTTGGTGTTATGTTGTTTCACAGAATAATTTAAGTTTTTCTAAACTCTATAATGGTTATATAATATAAAATGAGTAATAAGAAATTATTTGGTATTTGTCCATTAGTTTATCTGGATTTCACACCTTTCTTAGGATAGATCTTGGACTACCCTGTAATTTTTTTCTCATAGTTACTTGTGTGTTCGAGTTTCTATCTAGCCTTAAGGGGATTTTGCACTATACAGTTTTTTAGGAAAATTGTCCATTTCAATTTCCATTTCAACTATATGTTCACCTTTATTAAATGTTTTCTTATCATAAAAAACTCAAATATTTCAATTTTTTGCTTCTAATATTATACATTATTTTCATTCCGACCCCTCTCCACACCCATTTTTCAGACTTACTGAACAATATTCTGTTTTATTGGTCTTTTCCAAGAAGAGCTTTGGGTTGGCTTTATTGATTGCCTGTCTCTAGCATGTATTTAGTTTCTACTTTCATTTTTATAATTTGCTTTTATTTTTCTGGCCAGGTTAAAAAAATTTTTTTGTACTGTTTCCTGTAATAATTTCGCTTATAGACAGTTGCTGGACTAGGTCAAGGAACTCCCATGTACTTTACCCAGAATCACCAACTGACATTTTGCCCCATTTATTTAGTTTTTTCCCCAGTTTTATTGACCTATCATTAACAAAATTATGTATATTTAAAGTGTACAATGTGATGATTTGATATACATAGTACATTGTGAAGTGATTACTACAATGAAGTTAATTAACACGTTTATCATCTCACATAGTTACCTTTTGTGTGTGTGTGTGTGTGTGGTGACAACACTTAACATCTATTCTCTTAGCAAATTTCAAGGATATAATATAGTATTATATAGTATTATTAACTATAGTCATTATGCTGTACATTAGATCCCAAGAACTTATTCATCTTATGTGTAAAAGTTTGTACCTTACCATTTCTCTGAATGTTTTTATCTCTGTATTTTTGCAGAACCACTTTAGTGTAAATTGGAGGCATTTTGCCTAGTTACTTCTGACTACTTCAGTGTGTTGATTTTAAGAGTCACATTACAGTTATCAAAATCAGGAATTTTAACAGTGATACAGTGCTATTATTAAAGCCACAGTCCATGTTCAAATTTTATCAATTTGTTGTCCGTAAAGTTCTTTTATAAATGTTCTTTCTCATTCTGAAATATGGTCTAGGGAAATGCATTGTATTTAGTTGTCTCTTTAATGTCATTTAATCTGAAACATTTCATCAGACTTTTTTTGTGTGTGTTCATGTTGTTAAAATATAGACCAAGTGTTTGTTGTTAGTTTTTTTTTTTTTAAGAATAGCCCTCAATTTGAGTTTGCATAATTAAACTAGTTGAGGTTATACATTAGAAATACTGCAGTAGCAGTGATGTGTCCTTAGTGCATAATATCAGAGACCACCTGATATTGTTTGTTTATAGTGATGTCTGCAAAGTTTGCCCAGTCTAAAGTTACTATTTCTCTCTGTAATTAATAAATAATCTATTAGGAGACATTTGATGATGTTAATACCTATTTCTCATCAGCCTTTTACCTCTGAGTTTATCATTCTGTTTCAAGTCTGTCATATTGAAACTTAATAGTTTTTCAGCTTTATTTTCTAAAGTACTTAAGATTATAAATTTTTCTTAATATATTACTTTGATATATTAACTAACATACTTACAGTACGGTTGGAAATGAAGACAGTAGATGGGGAGATTGTCTATATAATAATGTACTATGCGGAAACTGGCAATAAGATCCTGAAGTGAAGTGAAGTCGCTAAGTCGTGTCCGACTCTGCAACCCCATGGACTATAGCCTACCAGGCTCCTCTGTCCATAGGATTTTCCAGGCAGGAATACTGGAGTGGGTTGCCATTTCTTTCTCCAGGAGATCTTTCCGACCCAGGGATTGAGCCTGGGTCTCCCGCATTGTAGACAGTTGCTTTACCGTCTGAGCCACCAGGGAAGTCCAGTAATGTCCTAAAGAGGGTGTTTTAAAGGTGTCCCAAGTTACCCATGTCTTAACAAAATGTTTCCAGTGCTGATTTAAAGGACACGAGATACAGTTTATGATGATCATGATTGTCATACTTATGAGTAATAGTAAGTTCTGGAAAATTATAAAGTTAAGAAGTATGTTTCTTTAGTGCCACTAGTACCTCAGGACTTGGTCAGTGCACAGTATCTCAAACATTTACCTTATCATTTCAGGAGCAGCAGAGCTGGCATGGAAGAATCCTCTGTCAAGCTGGTTTACTGCTATGCTCCACTGCTTTGGTGGAGGAATTTTATCCTGTGTACTGCTTGCAGAGCCTCCACTTAGGTTTCTTGCAAACAGCACTAATGTATTACTGGCATCTTCAATCTGGTAAGCTGCCATTGTGGTGAACTATTTAAAAAATTGTTCTGTAAATTGTTAGTAAATGGTATTTTGTTCTTTAAAAAATATTTTATGTTCTTAGAAGTTAACGCATTTGCAAGGGAAGGCACCCAAATAGTGCCCAAGGTTTTAAATGCAAAGTATATCTCTTTCTCACCCATCTCCCCTGTTCTCTCTCAGAGGTAGGCATTGTTACCATTTTCTTACGTGTATTTTAGTTCAGTTCAGTTGCTCAGTCATATCCGTCTCTTTGCAACCCCGTGAACCTCAGCACACCAGCCCTCCCTGTCCATCACCAACTGCCGGAGTCTACCCAAACCCATGTCCATTGAGTTGGTGATGCCATCCAACCATCTCATCCTCTGTCGTCCCCTTCTCCTCCTGCCCTCAATCTTTCCCAACATTAGGGTTTTGCAAATGAGTCAGCTCTTCGCATCAGGTGGCCAAAATATTGGAGTTTCAGCTTCAACATCAGTCCTTCCAATGAACACCCAGGACAGATCTCCTTTAGGATGGACTGCTTGGATCTCCTTGCAGTCCAACGGACTCTCAAGAGTCTTCTCCAACACCACAGTTCAGAAACATCGATTCTTTGGTGCTCAGCTTTCTTTATAATCCAACTCTCACATCCATGCATGACTACTAGAAAAACCATAGCCTTGACTAGACAGACCTTTGTTGACAAAGTAATGTCTCTGCTTTTTAATATGCTGTCTAGGTTGGTCATAACTTTCCTTTCAAGGAGCAAGCGTCTTTTAATTTCATGGCTGCAATCACCATCTGCAGTGATTTTGTAGCCCCCCAAAATAAAGTCAACCACTGTTTCCACTGTTTTCCCATCTATTTGCCATGAAGTGATGGGACTGGATGCCATGATCTTAGTTTTCTGAATGTTGAGCTTTAAGCCAACTTTTTCACTCTCCTCTTTCACTTTCATCAAGAGGCTCTTTAGCTCTTCACTTTCTGCCATAAGGGTGGTGTCATCTGCATATCTGAGGTTATTGATATTTCTCCCAGCAATCTTGATTCCAGCTTGTGCTTCCTCCAGCCCAGCGTTTCTCATGATGTACTCTGCATATAAGTTAAATAAGCAGGGTGACAGTATACAGCCTTGACGTACTCCTTTCCCAATTTGGAGCCAGTCTGTTGTTCCATGTCGAGTTCTAACTGGTGCTTCCTGACCTGCATACAGGTTTGTCAAGAGGCTGTGTCTTTAGTGGAAGCATTTCAAATATGAAAGGACATCAAATACTTGACCCCCAACAGTTGATCTTGTGAACCTAACCTGTGCTTATACAACTTAATAATCAAGAGTGTGACCAACTGCACAAAAAGTCCAAGTGATTATGATATCTCTGGTAATTGTTCTTGTCATACTCTGTTTGATTTTTCTGAGTCTTATGAAATTTAACATTACTTTGGAAGTGAAGAAAAAAATGTTAATAGGAATTGCTTTGGATTCTTACAAATTCTGCTTCAGTTATCTTTAAGAGGAGAGATCCTCTTAAGTTAAAAAAAAAAGTATAATACCAATCAGAGAGCTTTGTTAAACCAAAAGCAGAAACTTTTGATTAAAAATCAAATCAATGAAATATGTAACATTAGGAACATTTGAAGTTAATTTTTATTGTGACTTTTTTTTTTAATTTTTAAAAACTTTATTTATTTGGCTGAGTTGGGTCTTAGTTGCAGCATGAGAGATCTTCATTGCATCTTATGGAGCTTTTTGTTGTGGCACATGGAGTCTCTAGTTGTGGCAGTTGGTCTTTGTAGTTTTGACACAGGGGCTTCACTTACTCCACGGCTTGTGGGATCTTAGTTCCCTGACCAGGGATAGATCCACTTCCCCTGTATTGCAAGGCAGATTGTTAACCAGTGGACCACCAGGGAAGTCCCCATTGTGATAATTTTAAATATGTGTTCAGTTGCTAAGTCGTGACTGACTCTTTGTGACCCCGTGGACTGTAGTCCACTAGGCTCAGACTCTGTCCATGGGATTTCCTAGGCAAGAATACCGGAGTGGGTTGCTATTTCCTTCTCCATTTAAATATGTAACCAGTTATAAAAGGGGATGTTATAAATAGTAGTAGCAATGGGAAAAATAGTGGGAACCCGTAGCCATAGAAACTGTTTGGAGTAGAACAGTAAGTTTGGATAGCAAATACGTATTGAGCTGTTACCATATGTCAGCTAAATTTTATATTCATTGTCATATCATAAGGATCTAATGAAGTAGCTCCTATTATTTCCATTTGAAAAATGAGAAAACTGAGGCATAGAGAAACTTCACTGTTCTTTTCATACTTAGTACATGATTGAGCTAGGATCAAAACCAGGAAGCCTGACTGCAGAGCCTTGACACTTCACAACCACTTTCTCTCATTTGTTTGCTTAACTGTTTCTTAAAGTATAACCTTCCAGTTACTATGTGTTTTAAAACATTTTCTCAAGGACTTTTATTTCTATAGCAATATTTTAAAAGGATATTAACATTTTGGAGAATTTTTTTTTAATGCGTCTAAGATGCTGAAGCTATATGAGAGTAGGATATCCAGACTCTGACACTTTTCATCACTTTCAATTCTACTCCTATATACTAACTACCACTATTGCCTGGACAGTTGCAGTAGCTTCCTCAGTGGTCTAGCTGCTTCTTTCATTATCCCCCTGAGTCTTGTCTTTATTTTTGCTGCTGTTTAGTCACTGTTGTTTCCAACTCTTTTCGATATAGTGGATAAAAAGTGATTATTTAAAAATAACTTATTAGAACATGTTACTTCTATGATCAGTATTTTCTTATCTTATTAAGAGGAAAATTCAAAACTCCTAGCATACCCTGTAAGACTGTAAAATCTTGCTTCCACTCTGTGGTAGTGGCTTTCTGGCCTGTTCCTGTCAGCCTGCTCTGGTCACGTTGGCGCTGCCGTTCTCTGGAACACAAAGGCATTGTTCCGTCTCAGTGCCTTTGTGCTTGCTCTCTTTTCTCTGTGGTGTGCTTTTCCCAGGAGGCTCATGTTTTCTTTCTTTGGAGAGGTCTTCTCTAAAAAACATACCTCCTCTCCCATGACTATCTCATCATGCTTCTTTTTTTTCTTCCTAGATTTATTGCTGTCTGGTGTGTCCTCTGTTTATTTCTTTTTATGATGGTTTGTCTCACTCCACTAGAATAGCAGCCTATCAGAGCAGGGACTTTGTTTTGTTGATTGTGTGCCAAGTACTACTGTTCTAGGCTCAGTAAGTACATTGCTAAAGGAATGGACTGCTTGTGTTACATGGGATTCTGTAATCGAGTGGCTGGAAATTACAGATCTTGATTAGTGGTTCATTAAATGAAATAAAATTGCTTGTCTATAGATATATACTTCCTTGGCTGAAACTTAGAGATATGTTAGAAATGGAAAATAGATGCGTTTTTATGTAGTTAACTAATAGTATAGTATTTAGTTGTTAATTTGAAATCTTTTATTATTCCCATTTAATACAAGAGGAAATTGATGCTTGATATATTGATAAATGATAGGGTCTCAGTTTCAAATTAGCATGCTCTTAACCAAGAAGAACTTTCATTATAAACAATATGTTTTTTAATTTAAAAGTTTCAATTAATATTGAGTAGGTACAAAGGAATATTTATAAAATATGCAGAGTACAAAGAATTATGACACAATAAAAACTTGTATATCCATCATTTACATTAAAAAAATATTCAGTTCAGTTTCTCAGTTGTGTCCAACTGTTTGTGACCCCATGGACTGTAGTATGCCAGGCCTCCCTGACCACCTGGAGTTTACTCAAACTCATGACCATTGAGTCGGTGATGCCATCCAACCATCTCATCCTCTGTCGTCTTACAAAAATATTTTATTATAAAGTAAAAATTCATAAAACCAAGTATATCGCCTGATAAATTATTGCTAGGTATATCCTTGAAACCATGACCCAAGTCAAGAAATAAAGCTTTGTCATCTGTCCCAGAAGTTCCTTCTGGGTGTCACATTCCAATCACAACTCCCTTTCCACCTTAAATAATAAAAGAAGAAAAGACTGACTATCGCCATTTTGAAATTCTCAATTAGTTATCAGATGAAAGTCATTAAGAGTGCTAACGTCAGCAAAAAAAGCTAATCAGACATTTTGGGTCTCTTATGGTCTTGCTAAATAAAGGGGTCTAACCTGAATTTGATTTGGATTCTTTCTTCCAGAAGAAAGTACAAGGTGAATCTTATATTAACTAGCAAGGAAGCTAATCAGTCTCAAGAGCCAATCTGAAGAAACTCCCCCTGGTCAATGAAGGGACAATTTGAGCTTTAATAATAAAATTCCAATTTATTGAAACCCATAAAATATGCTTAATCCATGAGCTCATACTTACTTTAATTTTTTTTTTAAATAACAAAAACAAAAATTACTGGTCACTTTTGGAGAACATCAGGGGACCAATTCATATCCTGAAAACTGTAAACAAAGAGCAAGAATCTAGTATTTATCCTTCCTTTCCTAAATGAATGATACAACTAGGTAACCAAATAATAGATGATAGCACACCATTATCCTGACTTTTATGTTTATGACTTCTTTGCATACAAAATTTTATCATCCAGATGTTCATTACAAGACACTATAATTTAGTTACATCCATTAAAAATTTTAATGTCTCTTAAGTCTCTCTGATTTTATTAGTTCCCTTTCCATTCCGTTTTTCCTTATAGTTGTCTCTTGAAGAACCAGAGCTGTTTGACATGTAGACTTTTCTATGCTCGTGAGTTTGCTGATTGCATACTCATGGTGCAGATCATTATATTGCTCTATTCTCTGTGTTTCCTGATAATTGGCAGATTGATCCAGAATCCAGAGCAGATTCATGTTCAGTTCAGTTCAGTCGCTCAGCTGTGTCCAACTCTTGCGAGCCCATGATCAGCAGCACGCCAGGCCTGCCTGTCCATCACCAACTCCTGGAGTCCACCCAAACCCATGTCCCTTGTGTTGGT